ACTAGTCCCCAGTGGGAAACCTCTACAGAAGTTAGCCCAGGCTCTTTACTGCTCCCCATCCCACTCCCTGTGCTTTGCTTTAAGCACAGTAACCCATGGTAATCCAGAAGCCAAAGGGAGGCTGTGGGAAAGAAGGCTGAACTATATATCCCAACTGAACAACACACACCTCTGGCGTACCCTACAACTTTCCCAGGGGTTTGTGGGCATAGAGGGATCTAAACGAACCAATTTCAAGATCCATTACTTGCACAGGAGCCTCTTTTACCAGAGATATGCCCGATATGTGCCCAAAGCAGGCAGATTTCTGGCAAGTTCTCCTTCCTCACTTCCTCTTTCATAATTACCCTTTAGGAAAAAAATGCCTGTCTCTCCCTATCCAGAATCTTAACATGTGTCTTGCCTCACCAGGATGCCAAATAAAGGGGCGATTTGAAAAGTTGATATGAGACATCTTTAATCAAAGCGTTGACATATCTACTTGTATGATATGTATTTCCAATGTTGTTTTAGTTTTATGCTTAATAATCACTTACCAAAAATTAATGGTTCCTTTGATTAATTTTGTAATGACAGTATTTTAAATAACGTAAGCAAGAATAATTTTCACAATAAAAATCCTTCAAATAAAAGATCAAGTTGTACGTACTTATTTTTGTTGCAGACGAGTCAGGAGAGCAAATAACCTAAAAATATAACATCTTTATCAAATGTTCAATTAAGAAATAATTATTTGATAATTTTAGAGGTCAGTGCTAACAGTGTGCAAGGACTACTTTGTCAAATTTCTATTAGAAGGAACATGAGCAAAATACCCGGGAAGGAGAAGTAGCATTCAGTGGTATAAAGGACCAAAGACCCTCTCTGGGCTCCTTTTGTGTGTCACAATGGCAAGCAGAGCTCACCCCCACCGCCACCCCTCCCCATCAACCTTACAACCATCATATTTTCCTGTTCTAGAACCATTTGCAGTTTCAATTCCCTCATTTCACAAAATAATTTGTCACTTTCCTCATCTTGTCTGCATCCCGTCAGCACTTGGAGGAACCATTAGCATTTAGAGAAGAAACGACTGTGTATTACACGCAGACTTTTAAGAAATCCAATTTTATATGGTCTATATAGAGTCTTCTGCCCTTACAGTGGGCTGAAACACTATGAAATAAGTGCATACAAATACTCTGGCTCTGGATGTGAAATGTGGACAAATAATATCACTGAACTAAACTGAGATCAAAGAGCCTCTTTTTCTTCTCTTTCTGACTCCAGCACTAAACAACTTTTTTTATTTAAAAAAGGGCAATATTCTGCCCAGGCGCGGTGGCTCAAGCCTGTAATCCTGGCACTTTGGGAGGCCGAGGTGGGTGGATCACAATTTCAGGAGATTGAGACCATCCTGGCTAACATGGTGAAACCCTGTATCTACTAAAAATACAAAAAAAATTAGCCAGGCCTGGTGGCAGGCATCTGTAGTCCCAGCTACTCAGGAGGCTGAGGTGGGAGAATGGCGTGAATCCGGGAGGCGGAGGTTGCAGTGAGTGGAGATTGCGCCACTGCACTCCAGCCTGGGAGACAGAGCAAGACTGTGTCAAAAATAAATAAATAAATAAATAAATAAATAAATAAATAAATAAATAAATAAAGCTATATTCTTTTACATAGGCAAATTAATAAATAGCATTAAATCACCCCAAATGGTGACCAGGGTCTATTTCAAGGTAAGGATAGCAGCATTTTAGTTTTCAGTACACTGAACACCTGAGTTTTCTTAGAAGAGAATACATATGATATCCAAAAAGGAGCATTAACATTAGAATCAAGATAAATCTCAGTGGAGTGTCTGTCTTACCCAGTTGTGTCCTAACGCAAGTGAAACTCTGCATGCCTTTTTTTTGTTTGTAAATTCAGGATAAAAATGCAATGGTTATTCAAATTCAGTGAGGACATACAGATGAAGGGCCAGTATGGTGCCTGAAACATAGCACAGGCTTCCTCTTTGTAACTTTCAAATTCACATGAGGTTCCTGCTGGAATGGCACTGTTAATAACAATAATTTCTGTTTCAGGCTTTCTGTCAAGATTTCTTAGCTACTTATGCTTACCTAGTCAATACAGTCTGGAAGCTGAGTAAAAAGTAGCCCTTGTCTGCCCACAGCTGTTAACAAATAGTACAGTACAAAATATACATACACACACATATATACACATATACAGTATATATACACATATATAGGCATATATGCACACATATAGACATATACTTGATAGTATTTAATTAGTGAAATACACCATCAAGTAGGTGTTAGTTAATGCATTCCAGTACTCACTAAAAAACAGTTTTTCCTTCAACTCCTCTGTGGAATGTTTCCATCCAACCCGTTCCTATAGGACAGCAGCAAGTATTTAAGCGATGTTTAGTGTCAGTAGTCTCATGCAGTTACTGTAATCACTGGGTAAGTGAATCAAAGAGCTAATATTGAGTAAAAGAATTGGCTTCTTGCCAACCCTTCTACCATAACGCCTTCTGAAAAGAGGACGTCCCAAATGGTTAACCATATATCATCATCGGTTGTGATATTATGGAAACCTCTTCTCTGACCTCTCCATGAACCCCAGCCTTCTAGTTGTGTGGATGAATGGATACATAGATAGGCAGAGACAGATATCTAGATCAATCCACATTTGCCTACTATTTGTCAAGCTCTCTCAGCAAAAAGTGATGCAAATTAGACAAATGTTTTCATTCGGGGACCATAAAGGAAATTTCTCCAACGAACCAAACACATATTGATACTCAAATGAATATTATTTGATTAGAAAAATAATCTTTAAATACATAATAATGTCAATTGCACGAGTGCCATACAAACATTACTTTACAACCAACATTCTACCATTACAACGCTGCCTGAAAATAAATAGGGATTGATTATCACTGTCAAATTGTAGGAAATATTTTTATGCAGATAATACCATCCTCCATAAATATCAACAATCTTAAACTTGTCTGAGTTGGAATTTCAGCTCTACCACTTTCTAGCTCTGTGACCTTGAGAATTTCCTCAGCTGTAAAATATATTGCCTACCACATACGTTTATTGTGATGTTTTTAAAAAATACATCCTTAGAACAATGTCTGATATATAGTAAAAACTCAACAATGTTAGCTATTATTCATACTGTTTCTCATAACTTAAGTTATGGGTCTGAAGACAGAACTCTGTATTATCATTAGCTAACCCTCAGAAAAATAGTTAACACAATGAGCAGAACTCAACATTAAACTCCAGGACAGATGGGGAGAAAAGGACAGTAGTCTATATTTCTAAAAGATTTAAAACTGTTTTGGGTCAGAGACCTATTTAAAAAGTTGATCAAAGTTGCGGATATTTTCTGAGAAAAATCCACATGTACCCAGCATTTCAGGGCTCCTTTTCTAGCTATCCTGAAATCCATTAGAGGCACCAAATCTGAGATGAGTATCCCGTAGGCTTTAGAACCTTCCATTTCCAAAAGCTATTTCAATAAACTTTAAGGCACTGTTTTTCTCCATCCCCCAAGGAAATTTATAAACAAATATTTCATTGACAAACATTGGGCCTTGCAATATAGCTGTTGATATTTGCTACATTAATTTCAAGGATTAAAACAAAAGAGCATCATTTTAATCACCAGTAGTCTGCAGGAAAATTCCAACCAGAAGTATAGCTTCCCATCAAGTTCTGGAGTTGCCACTACAAATCAAGCAGGGAACGGTGAAACCAAAAGTATGGGAATACCCTGCCTATCAGAAGTTCCAGACCAATGGCCAACTGACCCTTTTCTGTCACTGTTGCAAAGCAGATGATACTGCAGGAGAGGCTCTTCTGACTGACTAAAATTCTGTGAGAAAACAGAAACGCAAGGATACGAAACTAAGACAATCATAACGAACCTTAAGATCCCTACGATACTTGTTAACTTTAAGTAAAACTAGCTTTTTCTTCACTTTTTAAATCTAAATGGCTTTTGCTGTGTTTTCATTTCTTCTCTTTATATATCTTTATGTTCCTTCCCTTGGATCTTGTATCTCCTTTCTCTGTTGACCACATTATTTAACATGAAAACAAGAGGAGTTTAAATTTTTAACCTGTATTATATCTTATTTATTTATTTATTTATTTGACAGGCTGGGGTGCAGTGGCAGATCATAGCTCACTGTAACCTGAAACTCCTGGTCCCAAGCTATCTTCTCGCCTCAGCCTTTCAAAAGTGTATTGTATCTTGATACTTTCAGTAGAGTGGTTCACCTTGCCTCCTCTACATGGCAGGATGCATAATCACCAGTTTATTCTGTAATACCACAGTAAGAATTCAGTCTAGCTAATATGGCCTCTTTCACCACACTGACAAGATAAGGATGACGACCACTTAGTTGGCCACCACCAGTATCATAATATTAGAAAGTAGTTTAAAAATATGTAATGGAAACTAGCTGGTGACCACCACTTCACTTCCAGTTTTGAAATTGCTGACTCATCCTATTTAAGAATCTGTTGTAAGGGTCATTTAATAATTAGTTTGGTTTACACATACTTTGAAGTTAACATAGTTTTTAATGCATGGAATTACATAAAGTCAAATGAACTGTATACCCTAGTAACATGCGGTCTTAATAACACTTGAAAAAATTGGCTGGATTTTCATTTAAAAGCCACCGTGAATAATGATTTTATTTCAGTGAAATTCGCTCGTATTTTTTCCAAGTTCCTTTGGCATTCTAGATACACTATTGCTTCTCCAATAGATAACTGGCTGGCTCAGAGTTGGAACCAATACAGACCCAGGCCTGACTGCCAAGCACTAACCATTCCTGCAAATTTCTCTCCCAGAAGACGTGTGCAAGCAAAGAAGAGGGCGATAATTTGATTTTGCAAAGATAGACGCGCACGCACAAACATCTGCACCGGCCCACAGGGAGTTTGGGGCGGGAGCAGTTAGGAAGCGGGGAGCTGCGGTACCTTTCCTTGGCCTTCCTGAGCTTGACTGGGTGCAGAACTCAGCCCTCAGGGCTGCGGGACAGCGTCTTCTCAGAAACCGGCAGCTTGGCTGGGGCCACCAGACGCGCGTCCCTCACCCTCCCAGCGGAGCGCAGGGTGCCCGGCCCGCCTTGCGCTAGCCAGCAGGCTGGAACGCCGTAAGAGCGCAGCGCAGTAGGGAGTCGCACGCCAGGGGCAAAGGGATCTGCGATCTGCACTCCTCCGGAAGCGGGAGGATGGCGAGGAGAGCCTCGGAAGTGTCATTAAAGTGTCATTAGGGGAAAAACCAAAAACTGAAGTTGCCACTAAGTTTTCCCCAGGAGAGGGCGGGGCAACCAGGCCAGTTGGGTAGACCAGAGGGTAGCGCTGGAGCTGGGAGGGGCCCCGGGCGTAGGCTTTCGGGGAAAATACCATCGCCCTTTCAACCACCACCACTCCCCTCCCAAAGCAGAGAAGCCGAGCTCTGTACCTCCATTGAGTCCTGGCTGCAGGGTAGGGGGCGACAGCCACCGCAACCGGGAGGGTGCGGCCACCCAGTTCCCTCCCGGGGGACGCAGGACTTCGAAGGCAGTGAGCGAGTCAGCTGGGATTCCCCCGGGCGCCTTCCACCCGGAGTCCCAACCCCTGGCGAAAAGAAAAGTGAAAGAGAAAGAGCCGGGAGCAGAGGCGAAGACAAACACCTCCTGCAGAGACTGGGGGTGGGGCGGGTGGCGGCGGCTCCTGGATGACTGACTGCCCCAGGTGTCACTACTTCCCGGCCTGTTTCCGTCCTTGCCGGGTCCTGGGGCGCAGAACCTGCAGGGCGAGCGCAAGGACATCGAGGAGCCCCAGCCCCGCCTTGCAGGAACACTAGCCACCGGCCTCCTCCTCTACCTGCCGGGACACCTGCAGAGAAGACACAAGGACACTGGAGGGAGCCCACCAGCCGCGTCCCAAGCGACGGGCACCATGTGGGAAGCTTCCGCAGCAGAACCTGGAGACCTGGGCTGGGCTGGCACATATCCAAGTCTCCCAGAGGAAAGGGAAAAGGGTGTCGGAGCCTGATGCTGGGCGGCTACTCTAGACAGGCCTCTTGGTCCCCTCATAGGCTGGAAGAAGGAAACTTTGAGGTCCAACTAGAGGAAAAGTTGGAAGAAGACACCAGGGTGGCAGCTTTGTGCAAGACAGTTCCTACATGGAGTGAACTTACAGCAATGAGCCTCTCTGCGGATCACTTTTCCAGTCTGTTGTGTAGTCCAGTGTAAAATATCACACATGGTCCCATTTGATGGAACCGTGAGATGTTGTTCTTGTAGGATTTTTTACATTGGAGGAAGGAACTGAGTTGAGGCTGAGTGATTTGCATGCCATAAAGCCAGTAGCAAAGACCTCATGCTCAGTTTTGAAAGTACTTTGCAGAATCTTGCAAATCACTGAAATCCCTGAATCACTGAAAATCCCTATTGTATGGTGCTTTCCAAATTTTCAGAGTCATGGCTCAGAGAAAATGATAAGTCTTCCTGGAGCTCAGTTTAATTTAGCTTAAAATTTAATTATGTTTTTTAATTACATAAATATAAATATCAAATAGAAAAATAATAGAAATTATTCAATTTCCATGTACATAAAGTTCCATATAATATCATTTCATATTTTTATGAAAAATTTGAGTTTATTTTCATTAACTCAATTTTTCGATATCAGTTTTATATTTAAAATAATTACTGATGGACTTTTTGATGAGAATTCCAACTCTAGTCTCCATCAACAAAATAAGTGAGGTATAAACATGCAAAAACAGTTTTTACAATCATTCAAAATTTCACCATAGTTGGAAATTATATGTAAGAATATGAAGCAATCATCCATTTCTGTTCATGACAATGTCATGTTGAATTTTCTTGTGATGGTGTCAATGGATTTCAAGACCAGACAGAATTTTTCGTAGCAATACATTGAAGCTCCGATTTGCAGAATGAGCATGCACTGGGAGAGCAAGACTGCAGCTGGATTGGATCCCATCACAAGGATATTGCAGCCACAGAAGGACTGATACCCATATGTGTGAAAATAGAGAATAGGGATGAACAAGTGTATTATGTGCCCCAACCTCATTTTGGACTGCTGTAGAGCTTCTTGGACTCCTGCCATGTAAACTCCTCTAGCACCTCCTTCAGCTCTTTTAATGGATACTGTGTTCTCTGCAGCCGGTGAATGAAGCAGGTGTCCCAGACAATAAGACACCTCAGAGGCCACACTCAGCACCACCTAGCAGAGCTCGATATCAGATATTGCTGCTGCCAGAGGACATATCATCACATCTCAGATCCTGTCTCTCTTGGGCTGCTCACGAAATCTATAGAAAGTTGCTCTCAGCTGGTGCTCACTAGCCTGTGGACTTCAGCTTTGTTAGCTATCCGCAGGACTGAGGGATATCAGTATCTGACTGCATGCTTTTAATACATTGAGACCACCAAGAATGTTCTGAGCTACTAGAGAGTTTTCACAACACTATGAAATTGATGGAAAGTTTACTTGTAGGGTGAATTTCCAGGCATAATCTGAGTATATAGCAGTAAGAAAATTGGTCTACAACTATTTATTGGGCTTCCAATACAGTAGATTCTAGAACAAGATGGACTGAATGATATATAAAGCATTTTGTCAGAGTAGGGAGATAAAAAACATAAATAAAAATAAAGTACAACTAAAAATTATTATAATCATAAGATATGCTTTGCTCTACTATTTGCCTCCCAAATATGTTGATCAAATTTGTTTTCATAAATGCAGATATTTTAAAAGTATTTTTAATTAGTTATGAGTGCCCGCAGTTCAATAAAGTTGGGTTTGCACGTAATTTGTTTTTGTTGCATTGCACTCAAACAGAAAAGTCTAATGTATGCAACTTGTGCTTTCAGTTGCCACAGGCTGTTTGGCAAAATATTGAAAATTACTCAGACCAATGAACAAGTAAATTCCACTACATAAATTAAAAGCAAAGTTGAAGATTGATGAAATAATTTGAAACTGCTTTACAGTGACTAATAAAATTACAACATAGAAAGAAGTGAAAATTAACTAAACCTCACAGAAGTGACCATAATAATCTTCTTGAATTCAAATAATTAACAATAAAATTATAGTTTAATAAATTTTTAATATCTTTTTTTCAAAGACAATGTCAATTGGGTAATCTTCTTTAAAATAAATTACTAATAAATGTTTTCTAACTTTTGTGATTACATGGAAGAAGTTACAAGTTATTTCATCTGATTTAGTGTTCAAAGTCCATGACTGTGGCCTTATTTATGGTTTTCCTAAGATTTAAACCACCCATCAAGAACAAGTTGATCCCCTGCTCTTTGGAAAACATGGCCTGCCTGGGTCCTCTACGTTTCCATTCGGGGTAAAGCATGCTGAAATGCAGCATTACCTTGAAGTTGCTTCTCACATGTTTTTCTGGTGATCCTGACAGTAGATGGATACTCTTGGCCTTAAATGCTATTTAGGTTTTCAAGAGCTCCTCAAGTTGCTGCTTTTTCAGAACCACAGCAATATTAGTTAGGACTTCTGTAGTTCCTCCAATCTGCTATTTCTCCAGTGCTGTGCTAAACACAAATGTTAACTTATTAAATCCTCACAGCAAACCTATGAGATATAAATTATTGTTATCTCCATTTTACAAATGGGAAAACCAAGGCCCAAAAGATTATACAACTTGCCTAAGATCACATGGAAATTAGCTAACCCAGCAAGGATTTGAACTCAAACAGTGTGGCTTGAATACACATTCCTATTCTCTGGTGCCTCTAAATTGGCAACCATTCTCCACTGTTTCTCAAACAGAGTTCATACGGAAAGAAGCCATGGGCCCTCAGACAGTATGTCTTGGTCCAATTTTGTTTGCTTCAGGGTAAATTTAGTCACCACCAGGGAGGAAACTCATCAGTTTTCCTTGAATTTCTGCTTTCTCATCTTATGTTTCTGTAATGAAACTGCAATAGGTATTGCATACCTGCTACTAACATAAGTTATTTGAATAAAGTGACTGACAAAAGGCTGGCAGAACATTGCTGCAGGTCTGAAACAGAGGAACTAGGAGTTGGCAGATTCTAATAGACAAGGGTGACTTTGAACTGAAATGTCAGAGTGTACCCATGACAAAGAAGGAGAAAAGACGCCTAGTTTCAAGCTGGAGATTAAGAACAATAATAACTGTATTAGTCAGGGTTCTCTATGGGGATAGAACTAATAAAATATACGTGTATATGAAAGGAAGTTTATTAAGGAGAATTGACTCATGATCGCAAGGTAATGTTCCATGACAGGCTGTCTGCAAACTGAAGAGCAAGGAAGCCAGTGGTGGATCAGTCCAAATCCCAAAACCTCAGAAGTAGGGAAGACAACAGTGCAGGCTTCAGCCTGTGACCAAAAGCCTGAGAGCCTCTGGCAAACCACTGGTGTAAATCCAAGAGTCCAAAAACTGAAAAACTTGGAGTCTGATGTTTGAGGGCAAGAGGCGTCCAGCATGGGAGAAAGATGAAGGCTGGAAAACTGAGCAAATATAATCCTTGCTTGTTTTTCTGCCTGCTGTATTCTAGCTGTGCTGGCAGTTGTTTAGATGGTGCCGACACATTAAGGGTGGATCTGCCTTTCTCAGTTCACTGACTCAAATGTTAATCTCCTTTGTCAACACTCTCACAGACACACAGAAGGATAATACTTTGCTTCTTTCAATTCAATCAAGTTGACACTCAATATTAACCATCACAATAACATACTTAATTTTTGATATATTTAAAAGTACATGTTATCTTAAATGCATTGGTACTTAATGTGGGGGAAAGGAGCTTACGTAGAAAGAAGTGACAAGTTCATATGCTAACAATACTATTCTGAACAGTCATTTAATGTTGATCTTAAGTTACAAAACATTAATAAACCTATTTAGATTTATAATCTGAGAGTTTATTATAAATGTATACAATGGATCTTGTCAGCATTTATTTCAATGACAAATTATAAAAAGGAATTTTACTTCTCTTCACATACATTGGCTAAAACATGGCAAATACACCTTCCTTGAATTTGTTCTATGATTAAAATTCATACATTTTTTTACCACACATAATAACCTTTACAAAAAGTGTAAATCAAGTCAATACCAATAATATGTTTATGTCAACAAAGTTAAACTGGCATTGGTTTTGACTCTATGGCTGACAAATAGTTGGCCTTCAATAAATATTTGTTATATTAATCTTGGTTTAAAAAAATCACCTCTTGTCTCATAGTTTAAATACTTGCTAGAATCAAAATCTAGGAACTTATAGGTATGTGTGTATGTATGTATGTATATATATATGTATGTAAAAAAGCTCTTTCCTTTATCATGAAATAATTTGATAATTTATATATTTATATAACTTCATTCTGTGGTTAACATGTGTGTTTAGTCCTACAATCACTTTTTATTAAATTTTCAACTAAAATTTCTTCATAATATATATTAAAATTAGTTCTAATCATTGGTAAAATATCAATATAACTTTCTGATCACTGGTTAAAATATTGATTTTGTTATTATGGTTGTGTGTGAAATTACCTTGATGAAATGGTAGCCTCCAGTTGCTACTCTACAAGTCTCAGAATAGAAAAACTTACAGACCAAATTAAGATGCCCAAATAACATGATATATTAAATGAATCTAAAGCACACAATGAGATGTAAAAGAAATGGGGCACCAGGTTAACACAAAGTGTAGGGTACAAGTGTGTGAAAGGATCACACTACCCAAATCCTGAATTATATAATTTTCACATAAACACAGCTATCTCCCTCCCTATGTTTCTCAGTCTCTGCCATGCCAACCTTCTCTGCTGATGCTGTGGTGATGGGGACCAAGGCTGAAGTTTGAATAAGAATGGAATGCATGGACAGAAGTTACCTGGGGCCAAAACACATACTCTACCAGAGAGTGTGTTAGTCTGTTTTCATCTCCATAAAGGAATACCTAAGACTGGGTAATTTATAAAGAAAATAAGTTTAATTGACTCATAGTTCTGCAGGCTGTACAGGAAGCATGGCAAAGGCCTC